CGTTAGGCATCTTGTTCGATCGAAAAATATGGTTGAATAGCTTGGTTAGCCATACTATAGCTATGTTCCCGAGGCATCTCCACACCTCGATTGGGATACCATCCGGTCCCATCGCCTTACCTCCTTTCATCCTTTTCAACGCCTCTCCTTTTCAACGCCTCTCTGACCTCAGATTCTTGGATTTTCTGCACAAAGCGCCTATTGATGTCATCAAAAGAGTCATCCAACTGAAAGGTTGTGTCCGTATTCTCACCATTGAACAATTTGTCAAAATACTCTTGCCATCGATGTCGGATCTCATCCTCCTTCACCAAGAGATGCTCCTTTTCATCCTTAATGCACTTAACTTGGTTGAAGTCCCTTGTTTTTCTCTCACGAACCCTAGCCATCCTATAAATGCCTTTCTCTCCTTCTTTCGTACTTAAATATTGGTAAAGATCCTCGTATGCTCTACCCTTTGCCACACTTACAGCTCACTTTGCAATCTTCTTTGCCACCTTGTACTTCTCTATGTTGTCCACACTCCTGTCATGGTACAAGTGTCTATAGCATTCTTTTTTCTCCTTAATAGCCCTTTGGACTTCCTCGTTCCACCACCAAGTATTTTTAGCCTCGCCTCCACTTCCTTTGATTACTCCACACACCTCTGAGGCCATCTTCCGAATGTTGGTTGCCATCTTCTCCCACATGTTGTTTATGTCATCTTCTTCCTTCCAAGAGCCCTCTTTGATAACCCTTTCCCTGAATATCTCTGACGTCTTCCCTTTCAGTTTCCACCACTTTGTTCTTTCAATCTTAGCTTGTTTATCCTTACGGGCACGCACCTGAAAACGAAAGTCTACCACCAAAAGCTTATGTTGAGAAACAACACACTCCTCTGATATCACCTTGCAACCCAAGCGTGCTCGTTTGTCCTTTCTTCTTGCGAGGACAAAGTCAATCTGGCTAGAGTGTTGTCCGCTACTGAAGGTCACTAGATGAGATTCTCTCCTTCTAAAGAAAGTGTTGACTATCATCAGGTCAAAAGCTACCACAAAGTCCAGAACTTCCTCCCCCTCCTGATTCCTACTACCATACCCAAAACCTCCATGAACTGCCTCGAAACCTGCGCTTGTAGTACCTACATGCCCATTAAGATCTCCTCCTATAAAAAGCTTCTCACTACTAGGTACAGCTCTAATCAGGCCATCTAATTCTTCCCAGAATGTCTCTTAGCACTCTCGTCGAGGCCTACTTGGGGGGGGGCATACACACTAATTACGTTCAAGACCATATCACCAACGACAAGCTTGACTAAGATAATCCTATTTCCTTGCCTTCTCACTCTCACTACAACATTCTTGAGGCTCTTATCAATCAAAACTCCTACTCCATTTCTATTCGCCACTGTCCCTGTGTACCAAAGCTTGAAATCTGTATTGTCCACCTCCTTCGCCTTCTAACCCTTCCATTTAGTCTCTTGAATGCGTAATATATTTGCACGCCTCCTAGTCGCGGTATCAACTAATTCTCTTAACTTACCTATAAGCGATCCTACATTCCAACTACCTAAACGGATTCTAGTTGGTTCGACTAGTTTCCTTACTCTTCGCACCCGTCGACTCAGATGTGAAGACCCTTGCTCATTTTTCACTACACCCGGGCGCCGATGTAGCGCGCCACTAAGGAAGCGACGACCCGATCCTTGCTCACTTGACACCATGCTCAGATCGCGACACGGCGCGTCACCAAGGGGGTGCCGACCCGGCCCTTGCCCATTTAACACCATACCCGGGTTCCGATATGGTGCGTCGCTAAGAGGGTTACGCCCTAACGGTTTTCAAAGATTCTGATTTTCAAAATTATTTCAGTTGCTTGAAAAAGCTCTTGAGGCCTCTGGAGATGATTTGGAGACTGCAATAAAGAGATTAAACGAGCTGCGCCTGGAGTCAGCTGGGGCTATGCTATCTGCCACTGTTTGTGAATCTGAGAAGGGCATATCATCAGCTCTTGATTTCATCTGGGAATAGTTGCATACCAAATAAAATGAAGCATTAATTGTGATTACACATTTATATTATTGGTAAGAATTTTGTTAAGTTACTGTTGCTACGAATGTCAACATTTGCCTGATGGTGTATAAACATTGTTGAGCAATGCCATCAAGGAGGCATATTTAATTGTTTTACCAATATTACAGATTATGACTGTTTGTTGTCAGTCCTGATTACCCATTGGTATTGGCAAATGTATACTTTATGCAGCAGTGAGTTCTTGTAAACTGCATATTATGCTAACTTAAGCATAAGCTATGCAGCTCTGTCATCCGTGTTCTCAATTGACCTATGTGTCAGGTTCCCTTTTTCCCCCATGGGCATTACTTAAGCATTTATTAGTAGTATATACTTCCTTCGTCCCAATATATAAGGTGTAACCACTTTTTATTCATGTCCCATAATATAAGGCGTGCTCTCTCTAGAGGCGCGTATATCGATGCTGTAGTACTAGTGTTTTGACAGAGAATTAAATGCCTGCCTTGGTCTTTGAACCAGAGGAGGTTACGCCTTATATACTAGGACGGAGGGAGTATATCATTTAGCGACCAACTTATTTTGTATATCTTCATGAGTTCTCTATTTTGCGAATCAAATTTGAAATACTGACTTTATGATTCTCCATCTTTGACAGGTACCGCCAGTAAATGGCCATTTGGACATAGCTACTGAAAACCCACCTGCAACTGATAACTCTCAGACAAGTCATCATAGCTCTGAATGGGTTGAGCTATTTGTCAAAGAGATGATGAGCTCCTCCGACATAGATGATGCACGAGCTCGTGCATCCAGGGCTTTGGAGGTGTTTGAAAAATCCATCATGGATCGAGTTGGAGCTGAAGCAGTGCAGAATTTGCATAGGGTACTATAGCATGCATCACATGCCATTTTGATCTTAGGATTTGTTCTTGGGAAGCTTAAGTAGTTACACTTTTTTACCCTCCATAGGAAAATGTGATGCTAAAGGAGCAACTGGCAATAATTGTCCGAGAGAATGCTGTTCTGAAGCGGGGCGTTGCGATACAGCATGAACGCCAAAAAGACTTTGATGTGAGGACTGAGGAAGTAGACAGCCTGAAACAGTTGGTATTGCAGTATCAGGAGCAGCTAAAAACTCTTGAGGTACTCCCGTTCATCACCCTTGTGATTTTGATCCTTTGATATTTATTCTACAAAAAGGTAAATTGTGATACATGGTTTGATGCAGATAAATAATTATGCACTTCGAGTGCATTTGAAGCAGGCTCAGCAGAACAATTCTATGCCTGGACGTTTCCCGCCTGATGTCTTCTAATGCTTTATCATGGTTCGGGAGAATAATTATGTACCTATTAAGATATTTGAAGTGAGGGAAAGGGATTTGCTTATTTCTACTGCTATAAGTAAATCCAGGACCTTGAGTTCGACTCAAATGTTGCATGTACCATTATACACCATCATCGGAGATAGGCACTGATAAAGCATCGACATTAAGGTTCAAATATGTTGTGCACCTGGAAGCTGGAAGTTGAGATGAAATAGTAGCATGTTAGGGTTGGCAGTGCACTAGGTCCTTGCAACCTACTTGTAATAATGGCTCTTGCAGAGGAAGCTCGGATGAAGTTATATTGGCTGTATGTGTTTGAAGTGTAGGAACTGATATATTGTATGTAAGCTTAAGACACAGAACAAAACAATGTTTAAATGATTTTTTTCACACACCAAGCTGGAATTATCTATTTTTATTTGTAATGAGGTATCTGCACCCACAGTCCACACTGGAGCACGAATATGCTTGTAGAACATTTTCGTAATTTACCAGTTTTCATGGTGTTGGTTGAATGCATACAAAATTTGGAATAAGGCTGTCAGCATTTCTGAATATGCAATCTGAAGAGCAACCCTATCACATCACAGCCTAATGCTTTGTCACCGATGGACGATTTACATCAACAGATTTACCCAGACCCGATGTGCGATCCACTTGAATTGATACGTGTAGTACGTACTAAGTCCGGTCCACGTACGCGTCGTCAGCTGATTATTTGGGTCATAGAAATAGAGAGCAGAGAGGCAGGAGCGAAGATGAGTACGTAGATTGTTCCAAAAAAAAAAAAACCCGAAGAAGAAGATGAGTACGTAGATGACACCGACTAGCCATGCATTTGGCCACTGCGTGGCGACTGCACGTCGCATCCGCTGGCACCGTCTTGCAGCGACGTGACCATGCGCACGGCATCTCGTCTGGACGACGGCAATGCCGAGTTGCCCACCTGACTTAGCTTGTGATGCCTCCGTTCACCCCTCTTTATGTACGCACACATAGCACCTGGCCATCACACGCTCCAGTACGTCGACTGGCCACACCAAACGCCAAGCTTGCAGAAGCTAGGAACCAGCTAGTACGGCGCAAGCGTCGCACTACCTGTGCCTCTTCCCGGCTCTGCTCCTACCCCTCCTGCTCCTCAGGCTGCTCAGGAAGCGCGACGGCAACGCCGGCGGCCTCCGGCTGCCGCCGGGCCCATGGCGGCTGCCGGTGATCGGCAGCCTACACCACCACCTCGTGGGCAAGCCGCTGGTGCACCGCGCGTTCGCCGACCTCGCGCGCCGCCTCGACGCGCCGCTCATGCACCTCAGGCTCGGCGAGGTCCCCGTCGTGGTGGCCACGTCCAGGGACGCCGCGCGCGAGGTCCTGCGGACGAACGACGTCGCGTTCGCCACGCGGCCGTCGAGCCCCACCGCAAAGATCATGACGGAGGACGGGGTGGGCCTGGCGTTCGCGCCCTACGGCGACCTGTGGCGCCAGCTCCGGAAGATCAGCATCATGGAGCTCCTCAGCTCTCGCCGCGTCCAGTCGTTCCGCCACGTTCGGGAGGACGAGGTGGCGCGCCTCGTCGCCGCGGTCACCGCCACCCCACCCCGCCGGGCGAGCCCGTCAACGTCAGCCACCGGATCGCCGTGATGGTCGCCGATTCGGCGGTGCGTGCCATGATCGGGGACAGGTTCAGCAGGCGGGACGAGTTCTTGGTGTCGCTCGAGGAGGGGCTCAAACTCCTCCCCGGGTTCAACCTAGGCGACCTATTCCCATCGTCGCCGTTTGTGAGCTTCCTCAGCGGCACGGCACGGCGGGCGCACGCAAACCACCGGAAGAACTCTGAGCTCATGGGGTGCGCCATCAAGCAGCACGAGGAAAGGAGAGCCGCAGCGGTGGCGAACGGCGCGGTGCAGGAGGAAGAGGACCTGGTGGACGTGCTCTTGAGGATACAAAAGGAAGGCGGCCTCGACATGCCTCTCACAATGGGAATGATCAAAGCTGTTATCCTTGTAAGTGCATATATAGAAGAAGTATTTAGTTAATTACCATGTTTGTTTGAATATTGTTTCCATTGTGTTTATCATGCTTATTTCTTGAAATTCTGCATATATAGGACTTGTTCATCGCTGGAAGTGAGACATCAGCAACTACACTGGAATGGGCCATGTCGGAGCTTATGAGGTACCCGGATGTGATGAAGAAAGCGCAAGCCGAGCTACGTGACAACCTCAATTGTAAGACGAAAGTGACAGAAGATGACTTGGTACAGATGAAGTACTTGAAACTCATCATCAAGGAAACATTGAGGCTGCATCCGGCGGCGCCATTGCTTCTCCCAAGGGAGGCAAGGGAGTCTTGCAAGATCCTTGGGTACGATGTGCCAAAGGGCACCACTGTGTTGGTGAACGCGTGGGCGATTGGTAGGGATCCCAAGTATTGGAATGATGCTGAAGAGTTTAAGCCAGAGCGATTTGAGTGTAGCAAAATCGACTTCAAGGGCATGGACTTTGAGTACATACCATTTGGTGCTGGTAGAAGAATATGCCCGGGAATGGTGTTTGCACAGTCAAATATAGAACTCGCACTAGCAGCCCTGCTCTACCACTTTGACTGGAAGCTCGAAGAGGAGCTGAAGCCAAGTGAGCTGGACATGACTGAGGACATAGGCCTCACTGTTGGAAAGAAGAACGACTTGCTTCTGCATCCCATGCTTCGCGTGCCCCACCGATCCGACATGGCCCATTCAAATATAAAACTGCTAAAGTTTTCAGGAATGCTATACAACACATGGGTGTTTTTTGCTTGGTTGGCACATGGATTTTCTGTCCGTCCGATCCGTCTCACGCGCTGCTGGGCGTTCGATGTCACGACCTAGATGTCGCGCCCGGATGATGTGTTTTGTTCCTCTGACCTGTGGACCGCGCTACAGTTTTGATTTTTGGGAGTCGCGCCCGATTCAGTGGCGTCCGTCCCCCACCTCCCCCCCACCCCCACCCCATTTCCATTCAGACTCTTCGGCTTCTTCGAGGCGACTCCAGGCGACGCGCCGCTCTCCTTGGGCGGCCGACCGGCGAGCTTTCCCTCCCACTCTCCCAGTGACCCAGTCCCAGATCTGTCGCGTCTTCCTTGTGGTGCTCTCGTTTCCTGTCGGCGGTGACCTCGCGGTGCTCTTGTTCCCGATCGGCGGCGACCTCGCGGTGCTCTCATTCCCAGTCGGCGGCAACTGACGATTTCTAGGATTTGGCCAGGTTTGTTGGCTTCTGCTCCCTTGTTTGCTAGTAAATCATTGTTGTTAGGGTTCGTTCTGGCATTAGTGATGTGTTTGGATGAGGGGATCGAGTTTATTCCTTGTGAATCTATTTTTTCTGGCGTTGGTTCGATGTCTTCTTCATTTCTTCGCCGGGGTTTTGGTGCAGCGCGCATGCGGGCTCTGTGTTCGTCGCCATGTTTGGTTTGGGTTTTTTTGGCATGAGAACGAATGATCCGTGGCTCCGCTTTGTGTTTTTTTTGCCGTGGGGATTAGCTACATGGTGACGAGATTTATGGTGATTTCATCCTAACTCTTAGGTTTTAGCCTGTAGTTGTGCGTCAGATCTGCTTCGCAAAGTACGTCTGCGCTTGCCCCCTCTCTGCTCGCTGGTTGGATCCCCACGAGGCCACGACCATGATTTGAGGCCACGACCATGATTAGCTAGTTTCTCTGACCTGTGTTTCTCTTTTGCTCATGTGTGGGTGTGGTTCGAATGCGTCTAGGGTTTGTTCTGTTATTCCTTGTTAATTAGGTTTTGGTTTGATGGATTGTTCTAGTATTTGATGGGGTATTTGATGGGGTATTTGTTTTGTTCATGTCGGAATGGAGATGTGTTGGATTGTCAAATTTGTTCTTTATATGGTTAGGGTTTCTTTAGATTTGCTGATCTATTGTGTTCAGTCTTTTACAGCTGTGGTTCATCTTCAGTTTTTGAATTTTTTTTTCTGAATGGTGGTTTAGATTTTTGGTGAACTTTTTTTTGCAAATGGGGTGGTGTTCTGTTAGTCCTTGTTAATTAGGGTTTGGTTTGATGGATTGTTCTAGTATTTGATGGGGTATTTGTGGTTGATTGAGGACAGGTAGTGGGGATTTGTCGAAAAACGAAAGGTCATAGGGGAGGAGACAGCAAGATGTAGTGACGGGGAGGGACAGCTTGTTAGGGATTGTATCTTTCAAGTAAACAATCATGGTCTTGCTTAACTGTAAATCTCAATTGATTTTTAGTTATTTTTTGGTTAAGATGCAGTAGGCAATTCACTTTATGCCAAATTGAGCTTGGTTCCTACAGTTTCAATGTCTCTGATGATGTTTTTTTGTGATCTATTTAATTTAATTGGTTACACAGTAGCTATATTTTTCCTTATATACGAGTTATAGTCCGTGTCAATATTGTTTTGTCTTCTCTGTTTATCTGAATTGATTTTCGGTCCTTCCATACTTTATCTGTAGTAGCTCGTAGCTATCATGCTCAGTTGTGATTGCTCGTAGTTTACAGTAGAGTTCCACTGTACTTACAGTTGTTGATTTAGTTTAATTCGTAGTTATCTTTGATGTAATTTTGCTAAATTGTTAGCTTTTTTCTGCAATGATGGGGTTTGTGTTTGTATTTTCTGTCTATTTTCTGCAGTGTCACAATTGTTGGCTGTGGAAAGATATTGTACTAAATATTTTTCTAATGAATTTACGCGGTAGTAATAATGCCAGCAGTAAGCTTTATGATAGTTATCACTAGACAGCAGCAGCAGCATTTTGTGATGGTGTCGCTTCTGCAATGTTTTCTTTCCTGCTGTACCAGATGTCCAGATGCATGCATGTGACACTGCTAGTCTATGTATCTTTCAGTTGGAGTTTTTGATATAAAACTTGGATCTGAAACTATGGGACATCTTTCTGTATTATTTTCTTTTCCTGGTAGCTAAACAAAATTTCATTTTTCAGATCAAGAGCTGGAACTTGAAGAGGGCTAGCAATAGCAGTAGCAGGTATGTTGCGAACCAACCTTTTTCTAGTATGTTCTTTGTTGCTGAAATTGTCTGAACTGCTGGATGGATCCTGTGTACATTCAGTTATCATTTCACTGTGCATGCATTTAGCACTGGGTTTCTTTTCTTGGAGATGAAAACTAGGAGTGATTTTGAAAATATCATATCCTTTTATGTCTCAAAAGAACAAGTTGTGTCCTAGGCTTTGTTGACCTATCTAGGACAGCAACTAAGCGACGTCCACGTCCTAACAGGTTCCAACGACATTCTTTGTCACGTAAACGTTATATTAAGAGCATGTTTGGTTCTTTACCCTACCGTGCTGTAGTCACAGTTGGACTGTGCAGATTGGAGCGTGCATTCCAGTTGGGATGATTAACTCATGGATGCTTTACACATATTTGTGGTGATGTTTTCAATCTGGCAGTGGCCACACTGCATTCCAGTGCATTCCAGTTGGGATGATATGTATACTGAGACGTATACTGAGAGATCTTAGGTTCAGCTTCAGTTTTATTATTTTGTTTATGAGTTATTGAACTCATGATTCAATTAGATCCAGTTCTTTTGTGTTGTTTCCTCTGTTGCATACAAGGTTCAGTACACTCTGTTGTAGTTTCAGTATGTCTATTTAGTGCTTTTAGTAGAATGTATTAGTCTCAGTGTGTGGCATCATCACTGTCTGTTCATTTGTTGTTCTTGCTCTTTTAGGTAGTGAAGATTTGGTTGAATCCACGATGTGTGTTTTTATCTCAATCAGTTCCTCCATGCTAATGTGTCCTTTTTTTTCAGGTTTTGTGTGCACCACAGATAGAAGCATTGCCAGCTTTTATGCTGTTCTTCCCTGGTTTGTATATATCATGTGTCATCCTTTTTTTTTGGTGACCTTTTATATCTGTGATTGGTTTCATTGTTGTACATCAAGCTTGTTGATGGCTAGTTGACATCCTAATTTTTTAATTGAATTCAGGTGCAGAGATCCAAGGCTTGGAGGAGGGTACCCACTAAAGGCTGTCAGCAAGGTAATAATATTGTTAAGCCTGCTTGTTGTGTGCTCGAGTGAAGTTTTTATTTTGATTTCATTGTTTCTGATCCCACGTTGAAATCAAAATAGTGAAACTTTATTTTCTCTGGTCTTTACTCTGAATTTTAAACTAGGTATCTGTATTGGCAAGTGTTTGGTGATTGGGATCAGTTAACTTGTGTCATATTTGGTAGGGTTTCTATAGAGGTCACGAGCATAAGTTTTTTGAGTTTATTTTTCTGTGAACTTAAGTTTAACTTGTCTAAACTGTGAACTGGTATGAATTTAATTATGAATATGAGGTTGCTTCAGTAGTCCACCATAAGTTTTTTGAGCTAGGTAATTTTTTGACCTACATGTAGCCATGGAGAATGATGAATTTCTACTGCAAACTGCATTAGAATTCTACTAAACCGTGATTTTATTCTATTCCTTTATGTAGAAGCACCATTTTGTTGATTGCATATTTATTAGTAGTAAATTGCACACTTCAACTACTGCAATTATGGTGTATAACATGTGCAATATCTGGTCTTTATAAATAACTTTATCACTATTTTAGTTAAGTTAGAGCACACAATTGTTCATGTTTTAGGGCATCGATATTCTTCTGTATGGGCTATTTGGGACTGGAAATGGGTCTTCTATTTCAGTGTAAGCATCAGACACTACATTTTTATGGGGTGCATATAATTTCTATTTTAATACAACCCTTCTCTTTAAGGAATAGATCTTTTGGCTTGATACGACAATTGTTTCCTTAACTGCAGTGAAAATGCTGAAGGGTAGCTGAAGGGTAGTGCATATATCAGCTGGTTTCATGATATTCTTCTCTATTCTGGGTAAGTTTACTTGTCATGGGACTAATATTTGATTCTTTACCAGATCTTTGAGATAATAGGTTTTAAGCCTAACATGTATGATGGAACTTCAAAATTGGCCTTGTCTTTTCATAGATTTGTGCCATCTCACACCTTATTTTTGTCCTTGTCTTTTCATAGAAAAAAATTATTCGTTGTGATTTGTGCTAACATATATTGAACTTTGTTAATTGTGATTTGTGCTAGCACACACGTCTTATTTGTCCTTATCCTTTCATAGAAAAAAATTATCACTTATGATTTGTGCTAACACATCTTGAATTCTGTTGATTGTGATTTGTGCTAGCACACATCTATTATTTGTCCTTGTCCTTTTATAGAAAAAAATTGTCTCTTATGATTTGTGCTAATACATCTTGAACTTTGTTAATTGTGATTTGTGCCAACACACACCATTTGTCCTTGTCTTGGAATTCTACAATTTATACATCTTGAAATCTGTTAACATGTTACATAACTGAACCCTTGATCTGTCTGACCTTTTGTTATAGAGAAGAGGCGGTCTGTAGCTAACCGGATCAGAGAGAAGTACCTTGATAGAATTCCAGTAAACTTCTACCCTCCTGTATGCATTGTTTTTTGTTTGTGTTGATTTACTCAAAATCCTAAAATCTTCTCTGTCAGTGCGTCCGATCTGCAGCTTGGCCGCGCTCAGCTGCTGCTGCTGCATGCTCTCGGACATGTGAATAGACTGCTATAGATGCTCTGAACATATAGTATCTCCTCAGGCCTATCCACTAATGGATTTGTGGCGTTTCTTGTTCTTGTCCATAATAGTCGTAGTGCTCTGTTCCTATTAATCTGTTCTATTCACGAAAAAACAAATAAAACATTCAGTTACTTAATAATTGCAACCAGCAATGCTGTAAATTGCAATTATTGAGCACTGCAATTTTAGTGTTGAGGATATACAATATGTCCCTTTTTACTTTCAGGGGTTGACTATTAGTAAGGAAA